CAGGAGTAAATTACATGGGGCAGGTCATCCAAGTTTGTGTCCATAAGCCTTCTAAGTGCAGCAAATCTGGCCTTGAGGCGACCAAAAGCACACTCAATAACCATACGTGCCCTACACAAAGATAGCACAAAGTACTGTTCCTTAGCTGTGGCGCCACCGGTTGCATATTCCTTCATCAGGTACGGCAGCAGCGGGTAGGCAGGATCACCAAGAAGATAAATTGGTATGGCCTCCTCGTCGTCCACAATCTGTTTTTTCAGAGCAGGGATCTTTCCAGTCTTTAAGTACATGTTTAGCTTTGAATTAGCAAAGACCTGTGCATCATGCACACTCCCAGGCCACTTTACCACGACATCAATGAATCGGTACTTGTAATCACAGACGGCCTGTACATTAAGGGAATGTGTGCCTTTCCTGTTGATGTAGTCAGTGGGGTTGGTAGATGGCTGCTTGATTTCGATGTGGGTTCCGCCCACTGCTCCTAAACATTGTGGCATGCGATGTGCACGATCAAAGCCCTCAACCAGATCCGCGGTCTCGGGCTCAGTAAAAGGCAGCTTGATGTATCTTGGACCCAGGTGGATGGAGATCGCTCTGCATGTCTGCCTAATAATGAGGGACACAGCCTGGCGCGAAACGCCGAAGGCGTTAGCAGTCTTCCGTAGCCTTCCCCCATCGCTCAGGTAATAAAGTATTAATGCAACCCTTTTCAGTGGATCAATTGGTGCCCTCATGTTTGTTGTTTGCCTTTCGATATATGGGCGCAGTTCTTCAGTCAGGGCGATGACAGAAGCTCTGGACATGCGAAAGTTCTCCCTCCATTCATCATCCACGACAACGCCATTGACAAAATTGTCCCACCAACTGCTTGTTCTGCCCGGTCTTATCCAAAACCTTCTCATGGTTGCCCTTCTGGTTATTCCCCGCGGTGGATTTAGCAGCATGTAGTTCATGTAGTTCATGTAGTTCTCCATGTCCACTTGTTGCTGATGGTTGTTGTAGAGGAGTTGTAGATGTTGCACTAACATCTGTATCATGGTCAGTAGCGTCTGGAGCACGAACGCAACCCTGTGATCCGCCATTGTTGTTGTTGTTGTTGTTGTTGTTGGCGAAACACATCAGCAATGACGCGGGCTGAGCAGCAGAGGTGGGGAGCGGCGGGGCTATGGCGTATAGGACGTACACACAGAGCCGTTTGGCCCCCCAGAGCGTTGCGTCCGCAGATCTACCCACCTTGGGAGCCGTTATCGTTATCCGCGTTTCTGTGTCGGCCTCATGTGGACGAACCGTCTATACGATAGAGAACTGTAGCGGATACAACCCGTTTCGTCTCCGTGTGGCCGGGGCCTGAGGAAGTCATGCTGTTATGGTTATTTGTATAGTTATATTTAAATCTGGTGTATATACTTGTCTTTAGCATCCTTTTTTAATTCTAAATTGTTTCTTAAAAATACTTGTTTTTTTATTATACTTATACATTTATTTTTTTACCTACTTTGCAACTTATTTTTTAGATTGTTTATGTTCGCACCACCAGATACCAAAGCAAAATCTTTGTATGTGTAAACGTACCTGGCATTAAACTTGATTCTGATTCTGCATACTTACTTACTTGAAAGCGTCTCGACTCTATAGCATTATCTTGTCTCTTCCAGTGGATCCATCGAGTCACATCCCTGTGAACAAGAATCAAAGTTTAAGCAGCGTTGGAAAAAGTATTCAGATCTTCAATAAAAGTACTTGTCGTAAAGTAAAAGTGCCTGAAAGTTGTACTTAAGTGCAGTAATTGGTCAAAATAGGTGGTTAAAAAAAGTGATTGACATGATTAAAAGTACGATAGTGTAGAAATAGAACAAGTATATAGTATCAAAAGTAGACATTATTCAGTGTTAACCATTTCAGAATAATATGAATTAAAATACTGGATAATAACTATTGATGACGGTATGTTGGTAAAGCTGGAAAAGCTGTGGCATCTTCTTTTGTATATATTGAGTCTTTTTCTATATCTATTACTACATATGTTGCTGGGTGAATTTCCCAATTGGGCTCAAGTAAGTTTTAGAGATAGAATCTTTATTTACCCCAAACTAGGACATTATTTGAAGCATTGTTGTCAAGCATTACACGAGTTAACAATATTACTACACACACAATACAGTCTCACTTAGCTACAGAAATATAAAGAAAGATACTACAGACACATATTAGCATTGGATTATATATAAATTACAGTTGTGTAAAGCAGCTATTGTGCGAATGGTTGTGGGTAATATTAAAGGACAAATAGACATGTGTTGATCATATTCAGTAAACCTAAGAGTGGAGAAATAAGTAGAATATTTACCACCTATGTAATAGTACAATACAAGTATAAAATAGCCTGAAATGAAAATGCTCAAGTAAAGTACAAGTACCTGAAATGTTCATGTACATTCAATTGAAATCTGTGTCTGAAATACTTCATAGCAAAACAAGATAAGCTAACCTAGCATAACACGTTAGCATAACAAAGCTAGCAGCCAGCTAACCAGCTTCTAGCCTCCTAGCTGTAGATGTTAGCACGGTAAACCCCCCTGTGAATAGCGTACATTTAATGACGTAGATACGGATACAAACACGGAGTTAATAAGGATATAAAGTCTAGTGTCGTGACTGTAAATACAGTAGCATTCAGCGTGATATAGCTAACCTAAGCTAGCTATCAGCAAGCTACGGGAAGTGCGCCGGTTGTTGAAGCCGATTTTATGAATGGACGTAGTGGCCAAACGGTAGTACTACAACTTCCGTGAAGTCATTTTGGCCCAAACTGGCTTTTTCCCATTGACTTACATGGGGGGAAAGAAACGTCTGTAAATCAGCGCATACTTTTTTTCTAGCTAAATAAACTATCCGGCACGAACTCTTTTATGGCCCTTATTTAAATAATTGTTGTGTTAAAAGTTCTAAAATGCGCTGAAAGCTGAATCCAGAGGTATTTTCCCTCTCCATTCATTTGACTGACAAGAGTGAAGGAGATCGGAGGCGGGACTTAAGGGAAAACTGAACTGCGCATGCTCTATGGGCCCACATACGGGTACTCTCTGAATGTACAATTCGGCTTCTCTTTATACATCCATACTTTCATATGTTTAGCTACAAATTCTTCTTTTTAGATATTCAGCAGCTGGTGTGTTTACCGACAAAATACCGGTTATTAAAGCTGCAAGACGAGACATTTTGTGGATGGTTAATATTCCCACCTAAATGATATTAAAGCTAAATAATACATCTACTAAACAGCAACATCCAAATGAACAGAGGGTTAAAATATTGATATTCAGCTGTAGAACTTGTCTTTGTACTATTATTATAACCTGCATTACATTGTCTGAGATATATCACATTTCAGAAAGTATTTATAAATCATTTTCTGGTTAAAAAAATGTTGGTTTTATAAATGAATTTGATATGTTGGCCCCGATCCCATCCAAATCAACACGGAAGTAGCGTTGAGCTGCTCTTTAACCGATAAAAGGTGTGATATTTACTCAAATAAAGCTATACATAAGAAGTAACTATTCATCTTTGACGTGTTTTCTGTTAGAAAAGTAGAAATATAGCGTAGAAATACTGCAGATAAAGCATAAATCTCACCTCCGAGTCGAAGTTTGTTTTCATGTGTGGGTTGGGATTTGCTCTTTGTTGCCCCTATAGGCCGTGTGAGGAATTACACCCACTGAATTATACAATTATTGTAGTCCAAACTTTTTTTTACATAAATATTTTGATATTATTTTATTATTATATTATTTTTATTTAAGATTATTTTATGAATTTATATAAATATTTTATTATTATTAGTATTATTATTTTGTTATTGTATTTTATTATTGTTATATTTTTGTTTGTTATTATTGCCATTATTATATATTGTTTTATTATTATATGTTTTAATCTTTGTTATTTTAAAAATGTTATATGAACTAAAAGCTATTAATAAGAAGTAATTCTTCATCTTTAAAGTGTAATTAACCCTGAGTTAAAATGATGGGAACCCCATTTCTACTAAGAAAATAAAAAAAGATGCAGTGAGTCAGTATGTCTTTGTTTAAATGTTCTTTCTTTCTTGATCATACCAATACTGACCATATTTGTATTTCTTAATGTCTTTCATTTTTTTTAAAGCACTTTGCATTGTCTTGTGGTGAAAGGTGCTATATAAATAACTTGCCTTGCCTTGCCTTATAGTTCACTGACAGTGGGAAGAGAAGAAAAGCCGAACATTGCACTTCAATATTGCTGTTTATTTTTTTTAAGAGATCGATTTTGACAGCTGAAAAAAAGCATTGTTCCTCCCCGACTTTCTATGGGCACTTGCGGTGAACAATGGAGGCGCCGGACTCATCGTATTCCTGCTTGATGATCCATCTCTCCTGGAAAGTGGAGAGAGACGCCAATCCAGGCAGAGAAGTTCCTGTCTGGGGGGGCGACAATCTGAAAGGGAGGGAGAAAACCAGGTAACTGAACTATAAAATAAAATGTAATTTCTTTATCCCGATTTGGCCATTTTCTTTGTTGCGTGATCATAAAACAAAACAAGTCATTGCACATGATAACAAATGAAGGGAGAAACCAGGCAACTAAACTATAAAATAAGATTTTGCACTAATTCCCAAAGATATTGAAGTGACTCTTATGTTGTATATTGATTGTTGTGCTTTTATCTTAATGAGTGTGTATAAATGTTTCTGTTGATATAGGATATACATATTTTATATATATTTTTAAATATATTTGTAATTTTGTATTTGGGATTGTGGGAAACGGTATTTCGATCTCTCTGTCTGTCACACAAACTGAAAGATTGACCATAAAGTTGATTTTGATTATGTACTTTTTTAATCCCAATTTGGGATTTCTTTTTTGTATCATTGCACATTAAACAAATTAAAAGAGTAGAAATAAACAATTCTAAAATATATAAATATATATCTCAAAATATAAATATAAAATAAAGCAACATTAGACAAATATAGCCTACAGATGACTGTGAAGTTAAAACAATCTATAAACTGTCTGACAAATAAAAACACTGTTGAAGGAGCAATTTATGTTGACACAATATAAGCAGGATACTATTACATACATTCTTCTTTCAAATAACTTTTACTTAGCTGTGACTGTGGACTGACGGCTTCGGGCCGGGTAATATTGCACATGTGGGTTTGCACAGGACAAATGTCACTCAGCACTTTAGTGAACAGTTCGCACTTTATTAGCACAGTACAGTTTGGCATGGCATATTTGCACATTTTATATAATTTATACTAATTATTGAGGTAGTATTTATTAACTGATTAAACCGTGTTGATTGGAATGTCGTCAGGTGCTGGTCGGGTCCTCGGCTCCGCCTGAAATATAGGGGAGTTAGCGAGAGCGCCGAAAGTATTTATGCTGTTGTAAGAATGACAGCGTTTGGGAATAATCAGGGTGCTAATAATATGTTGAGGGTG